CATAAGTATATCATAATTTCAAACTATTAAGTGAAACAAACTATTTTTTAAACACTTTAACAATCCAGATCTCCATTACATAATGTTGTCCTCTTTTCCCGTTCGTGCCCAAGACACATGGGGCAGATGAAGTAGAGTTCATCTGTTACAGAGAGTTATGTATCCCTGGGTGGATTCAATGACACTCTTCCAGCTTGAACCCGGATTTGAACTCGAGACTTTCGTGTTAGTAGTCTAGCTCTCTACCGCTAGGTCACGTCGTCACAACCATTACATATATTTTGTTTATATCTATTTAAACACATGTGCCACACCAACTGACCATTGGTCTACATCCCCAGATGACCATGCATGCATCAACCTCACACCGTGGCCTGAGAAAAGTCCTGGAGAATTCCCCAGCCCCTCATTCCTGGCGGTGAGAGATTCTATTTCTGTTCCTTGTTAAATCATCCGTCGGTTAGTGGGGTTTTATTCAACTCGTGTAACTCAATTTTAGTTCCGATAACAACGCAATAGTATCTAATTTTTTTTTATTCTAATTAGATATTTTATCGTTTATAGTTACTTTAAATATTAATCTAGTCAGTAGAGAAATTTGCTATAACTTGATAAAGTAGCAATCATCCCTCCACCACTGGGTGTGGGGATGGGGAGGGGGGAGACTGGTGTGTTGTGATTGTAAGGGTTTACACACCTGGGTCAGCGACCGGCGTCAATCAGACATGTGTGTCGTCTTGAGTGAAGTTCGCTCTCTACATGTCAGGTGCTAAACTAAAACACCATCATGAACATACGATATGTAAACATTCAGTATCGCAATGTGTTTAAACTTTAACATGCCTACGTGTTTGAAATTTAAATTTATAATTAATGAACGGTAAAAAAAATATATTTTATAAAAAAACATTTAAAGTACTAAAAATAAAATGAAACGAAAAGTATATCTTTAAATAAAGAATTAGTCCTTGAAAAATATTCTTTTAGCAAACAGTGTTTTTACTAAACAAAATAAAATTTGCTTGATATGTTATTTTTAGTACATTTTTTTGCTGTCATTTAATTTTAAGATCAATCATTGATTAATATACTAACATTGTTAATAAAAACTAAATATTCCTAGTTTAGATCTAACATTGTTAAATTATTCTATTTCTTGAAGCTTGCTAAAGAAGAAATAATAGTATCACAAGGTAATGTTTTGACGTTTTTATATATTGATTACGGACTTTGTTATATGTATATACATTTTTATCATTGAATGCAGTTGAACCTAAGCTACTGAAATTAATTTAACTTGCTTTTGAAGGTTTTTGTATAATCTAATTATCTAACTTTTTTTTAAAAATATGCTTGAGTAAATAAACTTAATCCATAAGTTTTTTTAAGAAGTTTGTAACTGGTATTGTTATACTTTGAATAGGTTCCTATTTAGTAATGATTATTTCCCCATGTTTTGAAGAGCTCATTTACTGCCAATTATTCCACATGTTTATAAAGTTCCTTGTGTAGTTACAATAATTTCGTCTGTGTGGATGATCCTTTCTTATGATTCTTTTTTTCACATCTTCTCGTAGGTCCGGTTGTTGCGACTGTGGTCGGCTTTCTCAATCTGCTATGGAACAAAAAAGTTGCAAAAGTCGCCATGGTTAGCACAGGCAAAAACGATGTAGGTTGAAAAACCAAACCATCAGCTCTATAGATTCATTATCACATTTAACTGATAGTAATTCTGCTTTATCCAGTGTAAAATGTGTTCTGAAACATGCACGATTAATATACACAATAGTCAATAACAGTGGTTTAGCTTATAATTTTTGTTCGATAACTTTGAAATTTCTAAACTTTAATTACTTTATCGAAACGTGATTTTTCAGAATGAAGACAGCTACTGGTCAAAGAATGATCAAATAATTGATTGCTATAGAGTGAAGACTGTGAACACAGAAGTATTTACCGATTATACTATACGGACTTTGGAAATTGCAAAAGTAAATTGCTTTTGAGATCAAAAGTTTATTTTTATAACCGGTATGAAATTTAAAATATTGTTATCAAGGTCGATTGTGGAGACCCGCTTCGAGATGAGAACATATATTTTATGCGCACTAAAATTTTAGAAATAACATATACTACGTGACTGCGCATTGACTAAGTACGATATAGACCGATACTTTACTTAACCACTGAACAAAATTACAATCCTATTTTTTAACGCTGTACAAAAAGAATAAACATTTATTTTGGATTTAATACAATATTTGAAAGTAAAGTTCATGGGACGGAGTGGTCTAGATGGGACGGAGTGGTCTAGATGGGACGGAGTGGTCTAGATGGGACCGAGTGGTCTAGATGGGACGGAGTGGTCTAGATGGGACGGAGTGGTCTAGATGGGACGGAGTGGTCTATATGGGACGGAGTGGTCTAGATGGGACGGAGTGGTCTAGATGGGACAGAGTGGTCTAGATGGGACGGAGTGGTCTAGATGGGACGGAGTGGTCTAGATGGGACGGAGTGGTCTAGCGGGGACGGAGTGGTCTAGATGGGACGGAGTGGTCTAGATGGGAAGGAGTGGTCTAGCGGGGACGGAGTGGTCTAGATGGGACGGAGTGGTCTAGCGGTACTGCTAACCCGTAAGTCTCGAGTTCGAATCCGGGTTCAAGTTAGTAGACCGTCCCTGAGTCCACCCAACTCTGATGGTACCTAACTCTGGTTAGGGTAAGTAAAGGCGGCTGAGCATAGTACTGACCACACTATCTCTTCATATGCCGAGGTCACAGAAACAAGTGAACTCTACTTCACTTGCCACATAGACCGTCAGGTTTGAAAGGGAAACTTTACTTAAAGTCACAAGTTTTAATGAAGTAGAGCTTACATTTTTCCATGACCACGGTAATGAAGATAACGTGTGGTCAGTTATATACTCCGACGAATTCGTTCACTGAAGTGAGTCAGAGCTGGTCGGCCTCGGGGCTTGATATTTGTACCCGGGATCCGAACTCGAGACACCGGGATCCGAACTCGAGACACCGGGATCCGAACTTGAGACACCGGGATCCGAACTCGAGACACCGGGATCCGAACTCGAGACACCGGGATCCGAACTCGAGACACCGGGATCCGAACTCGAGACACCGGGATCCGAACTCGAGACACCGGGATCCGAACTCGAGACACCGGGATCCGAACTCGAGACACCGGGATCCGAACTCGAGACACCGGGATCCGAACTCGAGACACCGGGATCCGAACTCGAGACGCCCTACCAAACTGTCTCATATAAATTTACTAGCACACATGAGATGACCGTTTGCTGAATTCTGGCCGCTAATTTAGTTAGTGTGAACAACAAAAAAATATTTAAAAGTACCAGAACAAAGTCATACAAAAAGAACACACTTATATGTATGCACTGTATCGAAACAAGGGAAAAGATATCATTGAAACGCACAATAGCATATTATGATATGTAAAGTTTTATCGAATTTCTGTCTTCCCAATGACAAGGACGACAACCCGCCACGTCAGTTGACCCACTTCCAGTACACGGCCTGGCCGGAAGACGGGTCTGACCCGTGTATGTGGAGTTTGGTTGACTTTGAACATAAGGTCTTCTTCAACACTCTGGAAACTGTCACGCTGGTGCATTCTGGGTAAGCTGTAGAATGAAAAAAAAATTATTATATATAACTGAGATTAAACATAATAATACATTATTTTCTAAGTAAAATAGTTAAAATGGTGGTTATTTATGGTATAAGTTTTGGCTATTTAGTATTTACAGTACAAATGTATTCTAGAGATTTAGTTTAGATATATAGCAATTAATACAGAGATAACAACAATTAATTTGATTTCTGAATGACAACACAAATAATGCCACTTATATTTTTTTTTTAGACACTTTCAGGTTTAATTCTCAGAAATGTTTGTTAATTGAATAAAATATCAAATGTGCTTTCATTATCAAGATATTGAATTTTCAGAATATTTATAATCTTAAAATGTAACTAATTAAAAATTTTTAGAATCTATATGTATAGCATTTTTTTAACTCGTTAGAATTTATTCTTGGATCATGTGAAAATTGTAAAGTTTTTATCAGTTTTGTTTAGTTCTACTGTATTTGTTTTGGAGAAACGATAAAATTCAACATATTTTATAGAAATCAAATTATGTGTCTGAAACATTTTTATACCATCGTCTATCTACCCCACAACCCTGGCCACCACACTGAAATCGTGATATCTTGCCCTTCACGCATGTACTTTGCCAAATTTAGTAATTTTCAACTGGAAGCCCGGTCGATTCCTTAAGTCCACCTGCAACCCCCCCCCCCCCCCCCAAGTCTACCCCTCCCCTCAACAGCTAGGTGCCCAGTACGATTGTCTCAAATAGAATATCGAATTTAGCCCAAACATTCTAGAGATTTGTGTTATTGATTCCTTGCACACTCACGAATGGACCAATCAAATTGGCGGTTATTTTCTATACCTACTAATCGCTATCCCAAGGATTCTGCTTTAAAAAAGCATTTACTAAATTACACACTTCGAAGTAATCACTGAATAATATATTTAGATTTTCCGGCATCGTAAATATCACACATGGCAGCAAGTCTGTACTTTATCAACTACTTCTGCCATTGTATATAGGCACCACATTTGACACATTATTTCCCGTGTGTACCTAACAGGACGGATACAACGAGAAGCTCCGTGTTTATAGCACTACACGATTTGATCCGTCAAGCCAAGCTGAACCAAGCTGTGGACTTTGTCGACACGGTGTCCAGGCTCCGACAAGACATGCCCAACACGGTTCAAACCTTTGTGAGTTCTAACCCTCCATTTTTAAACTATTCTAGGTTTAACATTAAAATTATATAACATAAATGCTTCTAATCGTGATGAAAAAAAAAATGTTTTTACATGTCGGCAAGAAAGATATTTTTTACACCTGCAATGTTTTCTGACCAGCTGTTTAATATATAAAAAAAAACAAATTAAAAAATAATGAAACAAAAAATGAAATATTAAAAGAAATTGTAAAAAAAAAAATCCTTCAATAAATCATGTACCATTACTTCCTGCAAAAAATTAAAAAAAAAAACTTACCAAATTTATTTGCTAAACGAAACAATATTTGGATTATCTTATAGTTGATTTTTAAACTTAAAATTAGATTCTACCTCATGCTAAAGCAATATTAAACTACACGGTAGTATTCTTTTCAGAGTTTCTTTCAGGCATCACTTCGGGGGGTAGGGGGGGGGGTGCTCAGCACCCCCGAAGAAAGTCTACCGCCCCCCCCCGGACGAAATTGAATTTATATAGAACATATATACATTTAACAGTGTCCGCCCCCCCCCCCCGAAGAAAGTTTAACCCCCCCCCCCCCCCGAAAATTTCAAGTGTCCGCCCCCCCCTTCCTCTCGGAGAAAAAAGTCTGGAAGAAACACTGATTCTTTTTAAGTGGAATCAAGCATTACAAATGCATTTAGTATACGTACACAACGTACACATTTTTAAAAATTATCACCCAACAATCTTAAAAATAAAGTATGTAGTTATTTTACAACTGTTTTTTATTTTTGAGGAAGTGTACACATGTTTTGCAAACTGTATAAAAATGAATTCTTTATTATGAATAATACGTGGAAAATGGCTTAGATCACTGTATAAATTCTATAATGCTTTTACCATAAGTGTGATCACTTACATCGAGATTTTAGTTATAGCTACTTAGAGGAAATGGTGGATATATAGGTGAACGCTAGAAGATATGAAACACCACACCTAATGGTGGATATATAGGTAAAGGCTAGAAGATATGAAACACCACACCTTATGGTGGATATATAGGTGAACGCTAGAAGATATGAAACACCACACCTAATGGTGGATATATAGGTGAACCCTAGAAGATATGAAACACCACACCTAATGGTGGATATATAGGTGAACCCTAGAAGATATGAAACACCACACCTAATGGTGGATATATAGGTGAACCCTAGAAGATATGAAACACCACACCCAATGGTGGATATATAGGTAAACGCTAGAAAATATGAAACACCACACCTAATGGTGGATATATAGGTGAACGCTAGAAGATATGAAACACCACACCTAATGGTGGATATATAGGTAAACGCTAGAAGATAGGAAACACCACACCTTATGGTGGATATATAGGTGAACGCTAGAAGATATGAAACACCACACCTAATGGTGGATATATAGGTGAACCCTAGAAGATATGAAACACCACACCTAATGGTGGATATATAGGTGAACCCTAGAAGATATGAAACACCACACCTAATGGTGGATATATAGGTGAACCCTAGAAGATATGAAACACCACACCCAATGGTGGATATATAGGTAAACGCTAGAAGATATGAAACACCACACCTAATGGTGGATATATAGGTAAACGCTAGAAGATATGAAACAACACACCTAATGGTGGATATATAGGTAAACGCTAGAAGATAGGAAACACCACACCTAATGGTGGATATATAGGTAAACGCTAGAAGATATGAAACACCACACCTAATGGTGGACTAACTGGGAGAGAGAGAGAGAGAGAGAGAGAAAAGAGGGGGGAGAGGGAGACTAATTAGTTATTTATGAATGCGTTACATGCAGTACATGTTCCTGCACCAGGCCACATAGAGAAAGGGAGAGAGATTGAGAGAGAGAGAGAGAGAGAGAGAGAGGGAGAGAGAGAGCGACTAATTAATAATGAAAACTGTGTTTTCCAGGAGCAGTATATGTTCCTGTACCAGGCCACATAGAGAAAGGGAGAGAGATTGAGAGAGAGAAAGAGAGAGAGAGAGAGAGAGAGTGAGAGAGAGAGAGAGAGCGAATAATTAATTATGTAAACCTGTGTTTTCCAGGAGCAGTACATGTTCCTGCACCACGCCGCGCAGGCTGGCATCGCCTGTACAGGCAGCTACACACACATCAGCGCCATCTTTCTCAAAGTACATCTCATGGGGAAAGTCGTCAACGGAAAAAGTAATTTCAAAAAAGAATTCAAGGTAACGTTGTATTCTGTAGCTTAGGTTCTTTGTCTTTTGATTGCAAAAAATGTTATTTTCGTCAAAACATTTTTTTGATGGTTAACACACTGCAGCGCATATTATGCGAGGGTATGGTTTCCTATAATTTTACATGCTTAATAAATGACATTTGCGGCTGTCAGATACAACTATTATAATTTGCAGGTATATTTCAAAAGAATTCTATAAATTAAGTCTTGTTACGAAAGCTGGAAATAAGGAAACCATACATTGTAATCCTATCACCTAGGCAGAGGCGTAGCGACCCTTCCAGGCGCCCGGGGACAAACTTTTCGATTTGCACTCCCCCCCCCCCCCCCTCAAGATTTCGATTTGCACCCCCCCTCAAACTTTCGATTTGCACCCCCCCCCTCACACTTTCAATTTATTTTTCCAACCCATTTTGGCGCCCCCTACGGTCGGCGCCCGTGGACAAATGTCGTCGTCCCCCCCTTCGCTACGCTACTGCACCTAGGACGCTACGACGCTGCTTGATTCCAGAGTTTTCTCATCTAAATTGGTTGCTGTTTTAGTAGCCTCGGGTTTGATACTTGGGTCAACGACCCTAACTTTAATAAGAATTCGTTTAACATGGTTGGGGTCGGCGTGGTGGAGTAGGTAAAGTTCATGGTTGCAAAACTGAAATGGCTCTGGTTTGAACCCTCGATAGCTCGTTTGCAATGGAGCAAATCCAAAACGAAAAGCAGGCTGAAATTGGAGTCAACGGCCCATATGTCGCATAAACACATTGTCATGTAATACTCAATTATGTTGTAGTGAATCCCTTCCAATAATACAATTAAGACCGAAAAAGTTAAAGATATTTGAACATATGCTTTTACAACAAGAATTTTTATCATAAATCTTCAAGTAAATCACTATTGTAGTGGCGTTCAACATCCATTATTTTCAGAATCTGTTTAGTTTGGAGATAAAGTTTAAGGGTGGTGTAGGGGACGTTATCCAAAATCCACAAAGTAAAAATAGATTCCTCATTGTACCAGGTAAGTGTATATCAACTCTAAAGATAGATTCAAAATTCTATCAGGTAAGTGTCGAACATAAGTAAGATAGATTCATCATTGTAGAATGTAAGTATGTCAGAGGGGTTAACAAAAAATTAAAAACTGTTCCAAGAAATGTACAACAACATTAACGATAGTTCAGTGTGAAGAAATATTTAACATTTTACTACTAAGTGTAAAAATATATGTAACATTCTACTACTAAATGTAACGAAAGATTCACCATTCTACTTGTTACCAATAAAATTGATTCGACATACTATTACATAAGTGTAAACATATATTTAACATTCTACTTGTTAAGTGTAAATATAGAATCAACATTCTACTTGGTAAGTGTACTTATAGAATCAAAATTCTACTTGGTAAGTGTAAATATAGAATCAACATTCTACTTGGTAAGTGTAAATATAGAATCAACATTCTACTTGGTAAGTGTAAATATAGAATCAACATTCTACTTGGTAAGTGTAAATATAGAATCAACATTCTACTTGGTAAGTGTACATATAGAATCAACATTCTACCAGCCGTGTGTTCACAAAGGCACGAGTCACAATACGTTTTTATAAATACACATTAACCTTTATGTAAAATATCAATTTTTTTATCAATGAACTCATCTATGTAGATTATCTTTATTATCCGCAATAATCTTTAATTTCTTATCACTGAATTAATCTATGTAGATTATCTTTATTATACACAAAAACCTTTAATTTCTTATCACTGAATTAATCTATGTAGATTATCTTTATTATACACAAAATCCTTTAATTTCTGACCAATGAACTAATCTATGTATGGTTTAGACAAAAGGTATCAACCTGTTTTACAAGTGGATTCCCCCGGAGAAGGGAACTATATCAATGCTGTCACATTACCTGTAAGACTCAAGTTTTTTTACACTTTATTTTAAATTGCATACCATATGGTGTGTAAAATCATTAATTGGCCTTATATAATATAATTTATATATACATTTTTCAGCGCTTTACCATTAAAATCTTACCTTTATAGAGTAATCTCTCCCTCTCTCTAAGAAGAAAAACACAATAAATATTATATATATATATATATATATATATATATATATATATATATATATATATATATATATATATGTAGATATATTTGTATAGTATGTATTTTTTATAAATGTATATATAATATGATGATCGTTTGAATTATTTGAAAATCTGAAAATACTGAATTTAATTTAACCTTTTCATATACAAAACATTATTCTGCTAATTATTCGGTTTTTTTTATTTTGTACGCTAGAAAATAATTAAGTGTTTTAATTGCTTGATTATATGAACATGCAGTACGTAAAAGTACACTGTAATAATTCTCTGTTTCGTTTGTATTAAAAACACGTTCTTATACATAATTTTAATGAATAAGCTTGAAATAGTAGTTGTAAGATATCTCATTTTTGAACCAAATTTAAATATAAAAATAAAAAATAAAAATAATAGGTACAAAACGACTTCCGGTTTTTATAAATGCTAGATATATTCAAGAAAGTAATTATTGGTAATATGACATATGCACATCTTAGTCTTAAAATTTTGTTTACCTTTATTTACCAGATATTCTATAGATCTATACTTTATCTTATAAAATATTTGTTAGGACTTTCGTCGTTTTAATTTCCCTGGCCACTCCGCCTGCGACACTGAGAGGTACAGGACAGCTCCGTAAAATATTTAAATTGATGAAATAAATTAAAATAATTTTGAACGGCTTATCTTTAATACAAAAATATGAAAGCGAGTGCAATCGATGGCTCATATACATCTTTACATATTTTTTTAATGTCATCATAATTACATCGCTTGACATATTTTAAAAGATTTGTTTTTAGTATTTACGAATGATTGTTATAGAGTTTAAACCTCATTTTAAGTCAACTAGGATAGTTAAATAATAACATTAACAAACAGTAATAAAGTCGTTTTTACTTGATTATTAGGCTTACAATGATTTGTACTTGATTATTGGGCGAACAATGACTTGTACTTGATTATTGGGCTATTAATGATTTGTTCTTGATTGTTGGGCTAACAATGATTTATACTTGATTATTCTGCTATTATTGATTTGTATCCCACCAAAAACCAGAGCCTGTACACCCAGACCAAACAGTTTCTGACCCAGCTGCCCATGCCCACTACGGTCAATGATTTCTGGAGACTGGTCACACAGTATAACGTCTCCTTGATTGTTGCTTTCAAATCCTATGAAAAGGACAAGGTAGGTGTGTGTGTGTGTGTGTGTGTGTGTGTGTGTGTTGTGTTGTAAACGTGAAGTCATTTTCAAATCTCATAGTCCATGGAACAGGAGAAGTAGAGTTGACCAGTTGCAGTATGAAGTGATAGGTTGGTTATAACTATGCCAAGTCGCCATTACTATCCGTAACATGAGTCAGGTACCAATTAAAGCTGAGTGTACGTCGGGGCGTCGTACGATATAGAACCAGGGATCTGAACTCGAGGCTTTCGAGTTAGCAGTTAATCGCTCTACTATTCAACCACTCCATTGTTTCTTCCAGCCTTTTTTCTCCGGGTGTGTGTGTGTGTGGAAGGGGGGGGACTTGAAATTAGTCGGACTAATAGTTCAGGGGCGGCGATATAATTTTCTTTCTAAATTCTATTTCTTTCGGGGGTGGGGGGGGGGGGGGGGGGGGTGGGAGGGGCGTTTTAAATTATTCGGTGCGGGAGGGGGAGGGGGCGCAGAGTCATCCCGAAGAGATGCCTGAAAGATACTCATAATATAAATTTAAAATTAAAAAAACCCAAGTTTTTCTCCAGTCCTTAGCTATCTACTTACCCGAAGAACAAGGCCAGCCGTTACAATGTGGGAACATAGCTGTCAATGTCGAGTCAGTAACAACAGCACCAACATGGACAGAAATGAAGCTTACCGTTAAGGTAATGTTGCACAATACACTGCTGACATCTTACACGTTGTTTGAGAACTATATAGCGTACGATTTTCATCATAGAAACGCGAAATATGCATATATATATATATATATATATATATATATATATATATATATATATATATATATATATATATATATATATATATATATATCTATATATATAAAGCAAAGTGGTCAAGTGCCCGATAGGGCACTTCCCGGCGCCGCAGGCGCGTCAAATTTGGCACGATGGTGCCTTCGGGCGATAGAACACGAAGGCCGGTGACGGTTGGCCGAAAAGTCGACGGAGAGGGGGTCAAAACTGACCTCGACTGACCGGCGCCTTATATGGGCTATATTACGAAAAAAAATTTCCTCCGACGACCCCCATTGAAATTTTGTGAGGTGGTAGGAGAACGCCTTGGGGTGTCACAAAAAACTCGCCATGTCCGGGAAAAATCGGGAAATGGGTCAAAACTGACCAGTCGTATTTCCCTATATAATCTTTGTATTTTATGGGAAAAACAGAGGGCCATTTCAAAACGGATTTTAGGGCTCGTACCCTCTTTACATCTGGCTAATTTTTGGCATGTTTATAGGTAAATGGCTTGGCCGTAGGGCAGACCTGTCAGTTTCACTCAAAGCCCTCGACGAGGGCTAAAAAGTGACCGCGAGTGAAATTCTCTTTATATGAGCTCTATTACGAAATTTTTTTTCCTCCGACGACCCCCCTTGAAATTTTGTGAGGTGGTAGGAGAACGACTTGGGGTGTCACAAAAAACTCGCCATGTCCTGGAAAAATCGGGAAATGGGTCAAAACTGACCAGTCGTATTTCCCTATATAATCTTTGTATTTTATGGGAAAAACAGAGGGTCATTTCAAAACGGATTTTAGGGCACTTACCCTCTTTACTTCTGGCTACATTTTTGCATGCTCTTAGGTAAATGGCTTGACCTTTAGGGAAAACTGTCGGTTTTACTCAGAGCCCTCGACGAGGGCTAAAAAGTGACCGCGAGTGAAATTCTCTTTATATGAGCTCTATTACGAAAAAAAATTTCCTCCGACGACCCCCCTTGAAATTTTGTGAGGTGGTAGGAGAATGCCTGGGGGTGTCACAAAAAACTTGGCATATCTGGGAAAACTTCGTAAAGGGGTCAAAACTGACCAGTCGTATTTCCCTATATAATCTTTGTATTTTATGGGAAAAACATAGGGTCATTTCAACGCAGACTTTAGGGTACTTAAACTCAGTATATCTGGCTAATTTTTTGCATACTCTTAGGTAAATGGCTTGACCTTTAGGGAAAACTGTCGGTTTTACTCAAAGCCCTCGACGAGGGCTAAAAAGTGACCGCGAGTGAAATTCTCTTTATATGAGCTCTATTACGAAAAAAAATTTCCTCCGACGACCCCCCTTGATATTTTGTGAGGTGGTAGGAGAACGCCTTGGGGTGTCACAAAAAACTCGGCATATCTGGGAAAACTTCGTAAAGGGGTCAAAACTGACCAGTCGTATTTCCCTATATAATCTTTGTATTTTATGGGAAAAACATAGGGTCATTTCAACGCAGACTTTAGGGTACTTAAACTCAGTATATCTGGCTAATTTTTTGCATACTCTTAGGTAAATGGCTTGACCTTTAGGGAAAACTGTCGGTTTTACTCAAAGCCCTCGACGAGGGCTAAAAAGTGACCGCGAGTGAAATTCTCTTTATATGAGCTCTATTACGAAAAAAAATTTCCTCCGACGACCCCCCTTGAAATTTTGTGAGGTGGTAGGAGAATGCCTGGGGGTGTCACAAAAAACTTGGCATATCTGGGAAAACTTCGTAAAGGGGTCAAAACTGACCAGTCGTATTTCCCTATATAATCTTTGTATTTTATGGGAAAAACATAGGGTCATTTCAACGCAGACTTTAGGGTACTTAAACTCAGTATATCTGGCTAATTTTTTGCATACTCTTAGGTAAATGGCTTGACCTTTAGGGAAAACTGTCGGTTTTACTCAAAGCCCTCGACGAGGGCTAAAAAGTGACCGCGAGTGAAATTCTCTTTATATGAGCTCTATTACGAAAAAAAATTTCCTCCGACGACCCCCCTTGATATTTTGTGAGGTGGTAGGAGAACGCCTTGGGGTGTCACAAAAAACTCGGCATATCTGGGAAAACTTCGTAAAGGGGTCAAAACTGACCAGTCGTATTTCCCTATATAATCTTTGTATTTTATGGGAAAAACATAGGGTCATTTCAACGCAGACTTTAGGGTACTTAAACTCAGTATATCTGGCAAATTTTTCGCATACTCTTAGGTAAATGGCTTGACCTTTAGGGAAAACTGTCGGTTTTACTCAAAGCCCTCGACGAGGGCTAAAAAGTGACCGCGAGTGAAATTCTCTTTATATGAGCTCTATTACGAAAAAAAATTTCCTCCGACGACCCCCCTTGATATTTTGTGAGGTGGTAGGAGAACGCCTTGGGGTGTCACAAAAAACTCGGCATATCTGGGAAAACTTCGTAAAGGGGTCAAAACTGACCAGTCGTATTTCCCTATATAATCTTTGTATTTTATGGGAAAAACAGGGTAATTTCAACACAATTTTTACGTTACTTAACCTCTGTACATCATGCTAATGTTTTGCATACACTTCTATAGATGACTAGGCCGTATGGAAAAACTGTTGGTCAGACTCAAAGCCCTCGACCAGTGCTAAAAGATGACCGCGAGTGAAATTCTCCTTATATGAGATATATATATAAATAAATTGACGATCGATCCCCTTAATATTATTTGAGGTCGTAGACCGACCCTGGAGGGTAACAAAAAAACTTTATTCCCGTCGGAAAAAGCCATTGTAGACGTTAAATATGTTTATATATCGTATTTTCTTATATAAGCATAGTAACTGTTTTAAAAAAAAGTAAACACTGACATACGTCATTCGGTTAATTTTCAAGGGAGGTAACCTTTTTAAATAATTATTTTTCAAATAATTGTATACTATTTTAAACAGAAACAGAAAACGACAAAGTATAGCATTTGTTTTAAAAAAAAATAAGTTGTTAATTAAGCTACGTATCATAATTAAATAAAAAATTAATTTTAAAAGTCAATGTAATATAAATTGTGAGATATACTGTTCACGGAACCTCTGTAGTTCTATTTCCATTTTAGTTATAAATTGCGTATTTTCGAAAGCGGATATTTGTGATGACGCAAGATTACGTCAGACATGTTTAGCAGATATAGGTTAGCAGAAACAGACTATAGACCATAGTTGGTTGGTCAGATAGAGGCCAATGGGCGCACAGGGCTGACCGGTCACATGGGACGGTCAGCTGACCACTGAGGCGTGGGTCAGTAGAGCGATGGGCCAGGAGTTGTTAGGTAGCGGCAGAGACGGCCGAGGAATGTAGACAGTTAGGAGTTCATGATTAGCTAGCGAGGTAGAAGGTGTGAGATTGTAGAATGTAGAGAACAGTTAGTGTTAGGATTGGTCGTAGTAGTAGGTAGCATGTGGTATGAACAGTCAGTAGTAGTAATAAATAGTACAGTGTAGATCAGTTAGGTAGAAACTTGAACATATATATCATTTTTAATAAAGAACAATTATAGTTGAACTTGAACTGCGTGTTGTTGGATACATTCGTTACCGCCTTCATAAAAATCCCCACCCTCACAATTGGTGGAGCGCGGGTCGAGTGAGGGAAAGAACGTATATCAGCTATTCATGACGGAGTACGACTGGTGTACGGCTTTCTTCAACTCAACACAACAGCGGGTTTCTTCAACCGGAACGAGTTTGGATTAACAACACAAGGAAACAGTCAACATGTCCAAAAAGATAAGTACCTTCCAAAAATTTTTTAAACGTTTGGGTTTAGACTTGTGCTGGATATTTGGTGCCAGCGGTTTTTCTGCCTCCTTCTTGTCTGTTTCTTCAACCACACTACCCTTAAAAATGCCTCCATTGTACGAAGTGGGCACTAAAACTGAGCTTAAGTCAGGCCTAGAAGAGTCAGGTAGAATTGATAACTCGTTACTAAATATTTGAGGATCCAGATATTCTGGATGAATTGATTATTAGGCTTGGACAATACACGACAACAGAAAATCGAGACTGGTTATTAACTGTTAAAGAATTTGACGTAAAAACTCTAGATGATCCAGATGCTATGGAAGATTTGATCAATAGAATTGTAGATTACAAGGTATTCGGAGATCCAGATTCCTTGTTGACTGAAGAAGAATATGATGCAAAGATAGATGCCGAGTTAGCAGAGAAACAAAGAGAAGCAGAAACATATATTGCCGGACTTAAAGAAGAAACAGAAAGAATTCGTAAAGAAAGAGAAAAATTGAGAGAACTTTGCCAAGCCAAACAAGAAACGGTGCAAAGTTTAGATACTAATAATAACAACCAGACAGCTGAAACAACATTTTACTATTCCTACGATTCAGATTCAGATGACACGTTCAGTGAAGCAAGCGAAATACCTACTACAAAAAGTGAAACACTACATACACTCCAAAAACATAATAGCGCAAATCACAACATTCAGATTAACTACAGTCAACAAAAACACAATTACAGTGTCAGATGCTACTATTGTAATAGAACAGGCCACAAACAAATAAATTGCAGAATACGATATTATGATATACGCCAACAAGATGCACAACGCAACAGACCAAAATATAGACAGATTAATAGAATGGCATTCATATCATCGTTTACAGAAGCCAGTAAAAGAACAGACACATTTACGTCAAAAATTAATAGCAGATACGCCACAGCAATTAGGGACACACACTGCTCAACAGTGGCAGTACGTAACACATTCGTACAACACCACCAATACACAGGCAGAACACAACGTGTTCACAGCTCAAGAGGCATCACATATGTTTGGCCAACAGCTATAGTCACCATAGCCACACCATCAGCGTGTAAAACAGTTGAAGCAGCTGTTTTTAAAAACGG